AGCTGCTTCTCCTGTCTCTCTAGCTTGACTTTCTGTTGGTCAATCTCGCGGATCGCCTTGTCGAGCAGGCGTTGGTTTTTGCGCAGACGCTCGGCCGGCGTCATGCGCTTGCCGAAAGCCCATTCTAGGATCTGCGACGTCAGTCACCTGTCAGCAGCGTGTCCTCTCTCGTTGGGTGCAAAGACGAGTCGGTCGGTGGTCCTCGTTTGTACTGACATTCATCGCTTTTACCGTGGCGGAGCAGGTGAATTGAACTGCCGATTGCCTAGCTTGGCCGGAAACGGAGCGGCTGGTGCGTTTAGAGTAGGTTCTCTACCTAACGATCGACGTGAAGCTGCTCAGCTGCGACAAGGACGAAGATAATATAGACTCCAAAGGTTGGTTGCCTACCTACTTATCTTAGGTCGGCAGGCAGATGTCTAGGCACTGCGGGTGGGAACGAAACGACGTCAGTTGAGTTCGTACTGCAAGTTAGGTAGGTACTTAGTAAGTACCTAAACCTAGCCTAGGTAGATTACTGCTTAGGTCGTATTTCCAAGGTCATCCGAGGCCCTTGTCGATTCCCACTCGGGCACTGTATTCTGATTGCTCGATACCTCCTATCTACTGTGAGTGGGCAGTTGACAAAGCACCTGAAGAAACAAGATAGTGGGAGACGCACAGTGTGTATAGCGCTAAGTTTACATGCTCCGGTAAGGTACGTAGTACTTCTACACCAATCATTTGAAACATACCTTACCTATAGGTAAGGACATGCGCTAGAGGTGCTTTAAACACCTGCTAACCGCACTTGCTCTTTGCTGCCCATTGTCAATGCCAGCAATAGGTATATCGCGTCACTATCACATTTTTCTCGAACCACTCCGTCGCCCTCGACAACAACCACCTCTACAAAAGCCTACCTAGGTAATCCATCTCTACGTCCCGCGCGTCGACAGCCGCCCTCCCACGTCGATTCCCCAGCATTCTTTCATGGATCCCGACATCTAGCGATAGTCCCAATTGCCATGAGCCAAGAGTACTTTTCGCCCGTGGCGAAAGGCAAATCGCCTGCCCGAGGCGACCGAGACGGCCCAGACGACCGCGACGACACAACGAACAATGCGCCGCGCGAATCTTCCGTCCCCGACCAAGGGAATAATGGGACGGGAAGACCGGCCTATGCCACTGTTGGCAGCGGCTCGACTTCTTACCACGCTACGAGACTGCAATCTTTGCTAGACCACGACTCAGGGTATGGCGGCAGCAGCATTGCCGCCGACGAGCCCGGCTCATATAAGCTTCCGCTGGGTTCTCCTCGGACCGATCCCAGTCTATCCGGCGATTCGGTTCTGGCGCATCAGCCGACCGGAGACGCCCAGACCGACCAGCGAAATCATGTTACAGCCATTTCGCAGTTATGGTACAACCAACAACGAGTCGCCCTGGGCCGTGCCATCAACAGGGTCGTCGACCTTCTCCAGAACCTTCAGGAGACGAACGCTACTTGGCCTGCCCACTATCCTTCCGTTCAACGTGCCGACATGGCCGCGCCCGAACGACCTGCTCCGAATCCCGGCTTACACCGAGCATTCTCTGCCGTCGGTGAACCTGCAGCCCCTCCACGACCCCTACGGCGGTCCATGACTACTACGTCCGATAACAATGCCGCCGAGTCTAGCAAGGATGGCGAGAATAAAGCTACGGCAGAAGCCCCTCGGTTAATAACACCGCAGATCGCACAGGAGTTCTCCGTTCTCAAGCTCGATCTAAAGCTAGGTGCCCTCAACCAGTCTGAACTTGTTCACTCACTGGAGAAGAACTCCGTTGCGTCTCTGCTAGATGGCAAGATACGTACAAGCATAAAGCACCTGGTATCGCTACGAGAACGAATTGATGATACCTCCAGCAAGGTTCTGATCACTGGAGACTTAAATGCCGGCAAATCGACGTTCTGCAACGCGCTGTTACGACGCAAGGTATTACCCGAAGATCAGCAACCCTGTACAAGCATCTTTTGTGAGGTCCTAGACGCACGAGAAAATGGAGGTCTAGAAGAAGTACACGCAGTCCACAAAGATTCCATCTACAACCGACATGACGAGTCAACCTATGATGTGTTTCCCCTTCCCAAGCTTGAGCAGATCGTGCTCGATAATTCGACTTATATGCAATGTAAGATTTACGTCAAAGATGTTCGTACCGTGGACGAATCACTGCTCAACAACGGGGTGGTGGATATTGCTTTGATCGATGCTCCTGGCCTCAACTCGGACACGACCAAAACTACTGCCATCTTCGCCCGACAAGAGGAAATTGACGTTGTCGTCTTCGTCGTTTCCGCGGCCAATCACTTCACACAGTCGGCCAAGGAATTCATATGGGCCGCCGCAGCAGAAAAGGCCTATATATTCATGGTCGTCAATGGCTTTGATATGATTCGTGACCAAGAACGATGTCAGAAGATGATCCTGGACCAAGTCTATGGCTTGAGCCCTCGCACATTCAAGGAGTCCTCGGAATTAGTGCATTTTGTCTCGAGTAACGCTATCCCCATGCTACCCTCGCCGCCAGGTGGACCAGGCGGTGGAGGCAGTGGTAGCTCGAGCGGCGGTGGCGGGGATGACGAGCCGAGCGATGATCCTAAGGGCAAAGGAAAAGAGAAAGAGAAAGTTGAGGACTTCCGGAAACTGGAGCAGTCTTTGAGACACTTCGTTCTGGAGAAACGAGCCCGGTCGAAGCTCACTCCCGCTAAGACCTATCTGATGAATATCCTCAATGATATTCATGTCCTAGCCACCGTCAACCTAGATGTTGCGAAGTCGGAGATAGATCGTGTGACGAAGGATTTGGATGATCTTGAACCGCAATTGGAACTGTCCAAGAAAGCCAAAGCAGAAGTAGGCGACGAAATCGACCAGACCGTTGAGCTCACCTGCAAGGATATCTATGATCACACAAGGAATACCCTCAACTCGGCAATTGCCCATGCGGGCGACAGCACCCTAGGCGTTCCATACCCAGGGTTATTCGGCGTGTTCGAGTTCGCTGAAGACTTAAAGGAAGCGATGCTCGATGAAATCTCCACTGCCGTCACAGATTGTGAGGAGCAAGCCCGTTCCAAGGCTGTTGGCGGAGTAAATGCTATCAAGCAGCTCGGCATCCTGCATCTCGGCAATGAGTATCACCACCTCAGCTTTCGGCCCGATGTAATGTTCCGAAGACGGCGAGATATATTGGCAAAGGAGATCGATCTGCCCACTGAGATCTGGGACCTTGTGGACTGGTCGACTCTCATGCAACGGCAGGAGAAGGTGGCTGGCACCGGCATGGCTTTGACTTTAGCAACTGCTCTGGGCGGGCGCTTGATTGGTGGATACGGCTGGGTAGACCATGCACTGAGTGCGGCCAAGATTGTCGGGAACGAGAATCTCAGAAAGCTGATTATTCCAGCAGTTGTTGTTGCCGGTAAGTTACATGCGCTAGAGACTATCCAGCCGAGGTTTACTAATATATTTCGTGCAGTCGCCTCCGCAGCAGCATATGTTCTCCAGCAGATCCCACAGTCACTGCCCCATCGCTTGTCCGCCAAGCTCTCGGCGCAGCTGGATTCAATGGACTACGTGCACACAAACAGTGCACGTATAGCGAGCTCTGTGCGCAAAGTACTCCGGTATCCTGCGGACAATCTCCGCGTTGGCCTAACCCGCTCCGTTGAGCAACTAGGCTCTCGCAGGGACGAGACGCTGAAGACACGCACTGAAAGCGAGGTGGCCTTCAAGTACTTCAGCAACCTTGTGCGGAACAGTGCGCATCAACGAACTCTGGTCACTGACGTGGACCTCGATGCGCATCCTCAGGCAGCAGTAGTGACATGAATAACCAAGTTGAACGATTTTTGAAATGAGGGGGGCAGGCTCCGGGCGGCGTTGGGTACAAAATATTATGTTGAAACTCGTATAATACCACTCTGTTCGCTTTCTTCTTTACCTTCCCTTCCCCTTTGTTTTCTTGCCGCTTTTACTCACACATCCGGTGCTTCGGACGCCCCCTACGTAACGCAGCATCCGGAAACATAAAAACTTAGATATGAAGATTGATGCCCTAGGGTTTTTTACGGATTAGGACTGCTTCTCGATTGATGTTGGAGGGGGAGGAAAGGCTGCTTTACTTCACTCATAGACGTGTACAAAGTCTCCCATCTCAAACTCTTATTACATTGACTGCGTATCGAGCAGCGGACTACAATGAGTTTAATAGCGTAGTAGTTTATAAAAATTCATTATTAATGTAAAGGCTCAGCGTATCTTGGGCTGTCAAGCCCAATTTTATAATCGGCACCCTACGGTGCCAGCACACAATGCACCATCTACGACTCTCAACACATCACTTTTTATTCGCATGCGAACTGAATATTGTGACCCTCGATGGATGAATATGTAATAGGCGCTTGAGTCACCTCGACGGGGTAGCAGAATTAACTTGCTGCTAGACTCTGCGATTTTCGAAACTCACTCCAGCCACGTACCCACGTCTTCATCGGCCACGAGAGGGTATATTGAATATATGCATTTGTACAAGAGACGGACTTTCGTACCCCTATATATATTAAGGCGCAACACACACGCCAGGTGAACTTTATAAGAGGCATGGTTAAGTCTCAAATAAATCCCACCTCGACTAACCCCCGCACTGACCCTTTCGTGATAAATATTATAATCGGCGATCATGATCTTTACGGCCCCCAGCCAAGTTGACGCCATACAGCACCCTACCTGAGTCTCCATGAGAGTCCTAGATGAAAGTGTAGGCTCGGGCCACTTCAGCCATACCTAGGACTCGCAGAGCACTTCACGCTTCGTTGTTTCCCACGGCTTGCCCCCGGACGACTTCTTCGACTTGCCGAACATCCATCCTGTCTCTGCTTCACAGTCTGTAACATACTTACTCACCCTCCATTCGAGATGACATAATGGGTTTCAGCCGCACGACTCAGCATCCAACAACTTGGATACAGCGATGGTTCCGTGGCCCAATGGTAGGGCGCTAGATTTCGGTTAGCTAGTTCACAGCTTCTCAATTCTCTAGAGATTGTCGGTTCGAGTCCGGCCGGGATCGCGATATATAACTCATATAACGTTCAGTTATCTTCTTTTTTGTATATTTTTTTTTCTTGCGTACCTGCCTTACCTTTCATTTTGTTTGCGGTCTTCCGGGGTCTGCGTCCGTAGGCGCTATCCAGTTTTTTTCATCAGGAATATGCCAATGAGGATATTACGCTGTTATTCGTAAACGGGATATAGAGGGGATGACTGCCAAGATGATTTATAATATTCCCATCTTAAGTTTGTCGGGCAAAGGCACCGCTGAAAGGCAGTTCCTGGGACCTGAAGCATGGAAATCTGATAAACATCAGCATAATGCAAGGGTTGTGGCTGAACTTGCATAAACCACATTCTCGAGTGACTTCAGCTTCGACCAATCAAAACCGCAGCATCGCCCGACTCATTACCCTGTTAGGCATCACCAAAGCCACAGTCATGGATCATCCAATCAGTCCCTTCTTTTCCATCTTACAGGACCGAAACCATGACATCACCATTCACCAACGGCGACAACCTCGTCATCGCCCGTGCCACGCAACTTCATTGTACGAGTGAAGCCTGTTTGCATCACAAGTTCGGAGCAGAAGGTCAGGGGCGTCCCATGAGACTGCGATGCCTCGCTTATGACGTAAGCAGACGTGTCGTGGCGCGTGCTGGTCCTTCTGATGAACCAAGAAAGCTGGCCAGTGACAAGGCTTGATGATAACTCATACGCTCTCTAACTTCTTACACAGTAAAGTGAAGTAGGTATATAAGTATACAAGTAGTAGGCTCCGCCGGCCCGCAGCTCTTTCACGAAACCACATAACGATCATTAACCTTAACTAAAACATACCAAAACCACAACATAATAGTTATACGTAACTCCGACAGCAGAGTCCTCAGCAGCCAAACCAAACCAAACCAAAATCGACACGAAACCGCGCGACAAGATGGGCGTCACATCCGGAATCACCCACCTCTTCGAGTCGGTCGGGGAGACGCTCCAGGGCATCTTCCTCGCGATCCTGCACCTGTTCGAGTTCGCGCTCAGCAGCATCGCGAACCTGTTCAAGGCCACGGTGAACTTCGTCGAGGGCACGCTGGGCTTTGCGTTCCGTGAGTTTATTTATTTATTCCCTAACTAACCCTCCCTCCTGTGCTCTGCTCTGCCCAACTTCCGATATCCAGTCAACTAACATCTGGGCCCCCCGCGCCTCTGATACATACAGACAACTTCTTCATCCTCGGCACCGGCGTGGCTATTGTTCTCGGCTACATGTTGTACGCGCAGCGCAGGGGCACGGCCACGGCGCCCACGCCCCGGGCGGTCAAGAACTAGTGGCGCTTTTTTCACGTCTTTGGAAGTAATACCGGAGTAATGATGTGATGGGAAGGGCGTCTCAGGCCGCCATGGCGGCAAATACGAGTAGCGGGGCACACAACGATGACGACGAGAACGTGTAATGCGATGGGGGTGCATGATATTTTCTACAACGAAGCCGGGACAGATAACAGTGTATGGTAGTCTAGAATTAATGAGGGAACGACATATAATGGACGGCTCGCCAAAGGCCCAAAAAGGGGGGTCATGCTTAAAAAACCCCAAATCAATAATCTATTCAGTGTGAATCATTCTGCCCTGACGATACTCCTAATCACTACTCGTTACCTTCACCTCACCCATACTGATACAACCCCACCAACCAGCCTCAGTAAAGAACCCCGATTTCCAATCTTCTCAAAATAAGAGCTTTTGCTTTTTTTTCTTTTTCTTCTCCTTTACTCCCGATTCCCACACTTTGAACAGACCCGCCCGACGCCCCTCCGTCCCCGCACCGCGAGGCTGGCGCCGGCGAGCCGCGCCTCGGCCTCGGCCTCGTCCCCCCGGCCGGCGCGGTACAGGTCCAGGAACTCCATCGACTGCTGCGCCGGCGGCGTGCGCGGCCGCCCGGCGAAGATGACGCGCTGCCAGCCGGCCCGCGGGGGCGGCGACGCCGTCCGCCGCTTCGTGGGCTCCTCTTCTTCCCCGTCGTCTATCCTCGCGAGGCCCTCGTCTCCTCTCCCAGTCACGGCCCGCCAGGGGTCCCGCTCGTACGTCTCGCCGCTGCTCGCGGACTCGCCATCGCTGTCGCTCTCGCCGCCGGCGACGGTCGCGTCCCAGGCGACGCTCTTGCCCTTTCCCTCGATCGCCGGGCTCGCGTCCGCGCCCGCATCTCGCGCGTCGTCGTTCGTCCTCGCGGTCGTGGCGGTGTCGGCGGGCTCCTCTCCCCTTTCCCCGTGGGATGATGCAGTGGGCTGAGATGAGCCGAATCGCGGCGGCGGCGGGGACCCCGGCACCGGGACCGGGAAGCGGAAGTCGGACGGTGGGGCCTGCTGCTGCCTGGCGCTGCTCTCGGGCGTGTCGGGCCGCCCCGAGCTCATCATCGACTCGTACGACGTCCGCGCGCGGAGACCCGGGCCGTGCGCCAGTGGCGACGGCGATAGGGGATGAGGGGGCGGCGGCGATACCATCGGGGCGCGGGTCCTGGCGCAGGCGACTGGACACCGAGGCATTTCCAGCCCCGTCTGCGGAGCGACGGAGACAGGCGGGCTCGCGAGCGTCAGCGAGGCGGCGGGCGGGAAGTGGGCGTCGAGGATGGATCTCGGCCTCGCCGCCGCGTCGTCGTCGTCGTCGTCCGGGCGGCGGCGGTGGCGACCGCTCCGGATCCGCATCCACCCGGGCAGGGGGTGGTGGCCCGAAGAAGGACAGGGCCGGAGGAGGAGCGCCGGGGCGGCGGCGGCGGTGGCGGCGGGTGGGGGCTCGAGGATGGCGACGCGCACGGCCGCGTCGAGGGGCACGGTGCACTCGAGCTCCGCGAAGCCGGGCGTCTTCGACCGCCTGTAATGCAGCCTCGCGATCGTGTCGCCATCGCCGTTGTCGCCGCCGTCGTGGTCCTCGGTGATGGGCCCGTAAGGAGGAGGAGGGGGAGGGGGAGGGGGAGGGGGAGGGGGAATGGGCGCCGGGGACGAGGGGGCCGTGTTCATGTCCATGGAGCTGTCTCCGCCGAGCTGATTCCGAGGCGGGAATGTCAACGCCGGTGGCATGTCTCTCGCGACGGCAGCCCATCTATCATACCGACTCGGCCCGCCATCGATGAGATGGAGGAGACTCGCGTGCACTCTTTCCAGCAGGGCATCTCCGTCGTCGTCTTTGCTGGCAAAGACGCAGTCGACGCACAGCGGTATCTCAACAATATCCCTCCCTTTCCCGTCCCATTTTATTCCCGTTCCCAACCCACCACTTCCCTCCTCCTCTTCCTCAAAATCATCATTACCATAAAACAACTTCATGATCCCAACCCGACAGGAACCGCAAAGAAGACATCCATGACGCCCCGGATGCCAGAAGCACCAGCAGCAGCAGTCCGGACCGACGCGTTCCGAGCCGCGGAGGCCGTCTTCGCCGCACACCCCACAGACCGCGAGGTCGAGGATGATCCCGCGGCAACACGTCTCGCAGATGATGAGCCGGGTCCCGTGGTCCAAGGCGGCGCTCGAGTCGCACCGGCGGACGGCGCCTGTGGAGAAGGGCTGGCGTGGCATGGGTCCTGTATCCCCCCAAGATAGATAATAGTAGACAAGACAGGGTAACGTGCGCGGAGAGCGATAAGAGAATTAGAAGACTGATGTTACCGGAAACATAGCAGGATGTAGATAACTAGGTAGAGAGTGGATGGGATGCGTGCTACGGGCGGGAGTATTCTCGGTCTCTCCGTGCCGAAAGGTGGTGGTTAATCACTGACATCTCAAAGGTATCTCACATACCTCTTTTGGCAAATTGGCACGGGTAGTTTAGGTAGGTAGGTAGGTAGATCCTGTAGAAAAATCAAGTTGTTTACAAATATTACTTCATGGGTAGGAGGGAGGAAGGCGGTCCCTGGCACGCGGCATCTGGCTCTGCCCAACCATCAATACAAGTAACTAACCAAGTACTGTACGTGACCGACTGGCACTCGCCACCGGTGCTAAGTCCTGTGAACGAAAGGGCGAGTAAGAGAAGCGTTGGGTCAAGTATCAAACGCACTCAGGTGGTCCTCACCATAACGACCCTTATACTCCAGGTAGTCTCCGAGGGAACAGACGAATAACTTGCAAGACAGGCATATCCTGCCCAATATCGGAGCCGTATTGTCAGCTGTCATGCCCTTCAATACTCTTCACATGCACAACTAAGGCGATAGTAAACCACTTCACAGCATCGGAAGCAAGTTAAGTTGAAACAATTCATGTTATCATCATCGAATGCCGAATTATACACTGGACTATTAGCCCGGTCGAGACTAGCGTTCAGAACTCAGAGCTCGGAACCCGTCCTTTCTTTCGTGCTTTCGTTTAAACATCCCTAGTAGACGCCGTGCCACATAAAACGCCTCGTTCCCGTTCCGCCAAACCCACAAGTCGTGAAAATAAAGGAAATTTTTCTTATTCATACAGAGCCATGCCCACCACGAGACACAGTCCTCTTCAACGCGAATATCAACAACGAAGCAATCAGGTGAACTCCCGGATCGACCATCACGACAGCAGGCTCACAGCGTCTATGTTGGCGTATCTACCAGCAAGCCGTTGAGTCTGGGGAGAGTAGAGCTCATCAAAGAATTCCTGTAGCAAATGTATGGACCTACCATTCCGGGAGGTCCATAGTGCAGTATCATGACAGCATTAAGACGTGAAGTCGTACTCCAACAACGCAGAAAATTCATCCTATCCTATTCTGCAACGTGATCTTTTGTGTCGTACAGCCGACTACTTTCGGATTTTCGGCTGGGCGAGCATTTGCAGTCGGCGTAGAGTCATACCCGTCCTCTTCTTCTGCGGGCTGGGCGTCTGAGAGCTCGAGCCGACAGCTCTCTTGGTAGGGGATACTCGGGCGATTAGTTTAGGGGCCACCAGTGCGTGTCCCTCCGCAACCGGCGGGTTCTTGCGCAACTTCTTAGGGCTTCGCTTGGAACCCTCATCCTCCTCCTCATCGTCCGAGCCGGCCCTGTGGCG